GTGTTTTTTCATGCCACGCTTGACTTCGTCAGTAGCTACGTCTGGGAGATTAGGCTTCTGTATTGAAGGCTTGTTATAACTTGTGGAATTGCAAATAAGGTTACAACTGAGGCACTGTTTTAATCTAACTAGGAGACTTATCTTTATTGAGGCTCTATATACATATATTGCCCTCTAGAAGCTGAAGTTGATTAAGATTTTTTAGAAGTATGTTGGCTTCATGTGTCTCATTGAGATGCCATAGCTTAACTACCTATGAATCAATCAATTAACTTCGACGTTTCAAAATCTTCTCCACTATATGTGACAGGAAACCGCAGCATGTACTGTTGTAATAGAGTTGCTTGGTAGAAGGCACGATCCATATCTTGGGCAGGTTCGTCCTTGGGAGTTCCCCAAGGGTTCAGGGGTATCTCGGATAGGTCTCCTTCTATTGACCATGGAGATTTACCACAACTAGAAAAGTTGCAGACCAGCGAGACTTTAGACTGAGCGATATAGACGTACGGGGTAATTAAAAGATGGATCGTAGTATCGTATGTGTAATCGTGGTTGGGATCGAGGTTTCATAACGGCGGTGGGCGACACGATTACTGCTCGAGTAACTTAGAGACTCTGGATAAAATTAGAACTGGTTTTATTATGGCAGTCATATGACAGGAGTTATTCGAGAAAAGGGAATCTCTTAACTACCAACCGATGTTTGAAGACCCCATGTGCCTGTTCTTAGCTTTCTAACCCCGACTCAGGACTTACGGTGCATTTCTGAAGTCAAGTACTATCCGTGAAGGAAATAAAGACCTAAAATATGGTCTCGGGATCGTTTTATTGTAGAGATTCGATGTTTGTATTCTATAAGGGGTTTTGCGGTTGCATGTCGACCGAGAACTCGAGTCTGGGGCTAACCCCTTTTCCACGTTTGATGGAAAAGACACAAGTAGACAGGATGAATAATGCTACGGTGCATTTCGAGATGATTATTTCTTCTGTTTGTTGCAGAACATATGAACCAGTGGGGTGTACAGTGAACAGTCCGTCGATGCAGGTCACCATGTTCACAAGATGGAGTGAACAGCACATGAACCATCACCCAGTGCATCAAGGTTCATTACATGTTCGTGCATTTTTGGGGCCTAAAGAAATGAAAACCTAATACCAGCGTTTAGAGATTCAATCAGAGGGTATATGGAGCTAGAGACGGTGCTGAAAGAACCTCAATGCTTGCTACCTACGGAGCCCCCTAAGCCATACCCTGAGATTTAGGGGATGTATTGGATCACGGACGATGGTACTACAGCGCTAGCACTACAAAACAACATCACAGGCACATTATAACGCCAGAGAAGCCGAGAATACGACTTTTGTAGATGCATATATGATAAAATGCCTACAGTGGCCGAGTTACATCACACCCCTTGTTTCGTCCGATGTCTCGTTTAGACTCTGAGATCCGCTAAAATTACTTCCATTGTCTACTTTCTATTGTACTCTATTGAGCTAAATCGTCTACAATAACCTGACAATTGGCCAACAGTGCGAGTGTACTTGGCCGTTTGTACTCTTGCTCCCGTGCCAGGAGTTCGCTTTGTGGCGACGTGTCTGAGTCACTGGGCGTGAGGTTAGGAAGAGGCTTCAGCCCCCAGGGTTTAAAGGTAAAGGACCAACTCCACAGCCTTTCTCTTTCTGCACCTCCACTCGCGCTACAAACAACTTTCACAAATCTCCTATTAGCTACCTTGGATGATTAGTTGGCAGTGAATCATAGCCTTCTTGTGCACTCAGAGTGGGGTATAATCTTCTCTTTTATCATCTCTCTCTCTCTTCTCCCTCTTCCTTTCTTGATCCTCCTTCTCACTTCCTCTTTTCATCCTCACCCTTCCCTTATCTCTTCTCCCCTAGGCCAAACACAGGCACCGCATCTTGGAATTCTCTTGGACCTCCTTTCACTCAAATTTCTTGACAACCTCGCCGTTCTTTGTACAGCAAAGCCTCAAACCATGGCTAGACGCAAACCAAAGGCGAGGTATTGGAACAAGAACAAACAAAATGTTCCTGGTAACATTCCCGTCAACTCGACGATTAAGACAACCTCAGAATGGAACACAAACGCTGGATGGACTCAGACCACTACAACCAGTAACCATCACTATCCTCACCAGCCTCTCATGAAGGTGACTCCTATCTCCAAGCCTGAGAACCGAGGACGCTATGGCCCCAAGGAGTCTCGAGAGCGTCTCGAGTCACAAGGCTACCATCCGTTGGTCACTAGCATGAATAAGGAAGAGGTCGAAGCCTCTTACGAGGAGAAACGCAAGAAGAGCCTTTATAAGCCTGATTTTAGTGATTATGTCGGCATGGGAAAAGAACAAGGCTTCCAAGGTCGATATACCTCCGACATGAATCTGCTTGTCAAGTCAACCGACTCCTCCTATGAGAGCCAGCATGAGGCCTCCGAACTCACCAAGGAAGTCTTCGACGGAACACACCCGCAAGGCCTCTTGATTGCACAGCAACTTGCTTCGCTTGGCATCAAGCATCTTGAAAAGCTTGCTCTTGCTCGCCCACAAGAATGGGACGCCCTTTCCAAGGGTATGGCCATCTGGGATTTCACTACCAACAAGTTCGATAGCGAACCATCTGGTCACGTTTTTTTGTGTCTTTTCCCAAAGATTTCTCAGGGAGCTTTCATCAAGTCGCCTGCCCACCAGGAATCGCGAACACACGAAAAACGTATTCGGAAGGAGATCATCGACCTGATCAACTGGATTTACTCTAAATGTGGTCCTACAGAGCGACCTGCTTGGCATCCCGACGAAAAACTGCTACAAGCCGAGGGGCTGAGTCCGGAAGTCTTGCGCTGTCTCAACAGAGGCACAAAGCCACCACAGGTTGTGATCAACATGGCCAGGTCCATCCCAGACATCAGTAACCTCGAGGGCATGATGCGAGACTATGTCGATCAACCCGAACATCTCGACTATCGCATGTCAAAGCCAGTCGCACTGAAGAATATGTTCGGCCTCCGTAAGTTCCATTGCCTTCTGCACCTGTGTTTTTACTAACAAATCATAGTCACAAACATCTTCAACAGAAGGACAAATATTCGTGTTCTTCACTTTCAGAAAACCCCGCTTCTCGACCGACGACTGTTGGCATGCATCCTGCGTGCTTGCCCTCATATTACCACCCTTGGCATCTACCAATGCCCCCTTATTCATTTTGGTGATATCATTTGCCTTTTGGACCTTATCCATGAGGTCAACTTGAAGCGCAGCAGTCAGAGCTTGCCGCTGGTAGAAGCCTTGGACTTTTACCCTCTGTACCAAGCCGGCATGCCCTTCAAGGTGCCCGCTGCAGAAGAACTCACTAGAGCAGAGAAGCAACGTGGTATGGAGCCTGCCGCAAGGGAAACACATGGATACGGGATCACTTGGACCTATATGAACCTCGAGGTTGTTCAGCGAGGCGTTTTCGGTATTCTTCTGAAAACTGTCCTAAAGGCTCGCAAGATGGGCATCCGTCTTCTGATGGATAAAGACGCAGCCTTCATGAAGTACCTCTCAGATATTCCCATGCTACCTGGCATTATTTTTCAATTCCTAGACGGTTTGTACCGCTATCTTGATCTCAAAGAGACTGGACCCGAAGACCAAACCGCCATGAGAAGAGCGAAGTACGACATGATCCTGGCCGTACGCACCGGCCTAGAGTCGCCATATCGCAACACCCTCGACCCGTCCTACGACGATACCGGAAAGGTCACCTCACTCTTTTGCCGTTCGTGTGGGTACAAGATGTTGGACATTTTCTTCTGCCCCCAGTGGGTCCGAAACCGACAAGACCCTCAAGACTGCGCTGGATGTACGCTCCAGGGTTTGCTTGACCGTCAGAGCGATCATCAAAAGCATCATGACATTAATCTGATGGGACCCTTCTTAGAGAAGGACTGGGACCCCAAAGGCTTCAACGTTGATGCTCCAGTTCATGACGCTGGCCAAGAACTCCTTTCTTTGCACACCCGGAAGACCACAAATGATCTCCCTGTGATGGCGCTTCTTCCAAATGGTGATTTTGACCAGCCGTCGTTACAGGAGCAACCTATCTGCGAGCACAAGAAGAATAACGACTGTCTCCAGGGCCTGCCCACTCTTCGAGACATGCTCCTACAGAAGGACACCCATAAGGAGGATGCCAAAAACCATGCTCTCAATGTTGATGCATGCCGGGCCCTCTCGATCATCATGAACTACACTGACTCCGAACTTGCTGAGCTGGATAAAAATCAGGGTGTCGGGGGTCATTTCTGTCAAGGCCAAGGATGGCGGCCTCTTATTAAAGGCTTCAGAGATCCAAAGAAAAGTCACACATTCGACTCAGCCACGAAGGCGGCCCAAGAGCTCAAGGTGAGGGCCGAGATTGCAGAAGGTCAACGGCCGGAGCAGGATGCTGCGGGATTTTGGTGATGCTTGGAAAACCCTACCTAGGTCAACCCTAGAACTTGGGAACTCATGGGACGTTTGGTTGCTTCTGATTTGTTGGTACATGACACTTTGCAGAACCCAGGATGCGGTATTGCTTAAAAACACCCAAGTACTTGATAATAGCTACACGGAGGATAGAAAGAGAGCTTTTGAAAGAAAATGGGAACTGGCTCTAATGGGAGAATGAGCACAGCTTGGGATGGTTGGCGCTGAGGTAGCTATTTTCTGATCCGTAGCCTTAATCAAGTTCACTAAAACAAGAAGAAGCTCCCGTGAAATGTCGGGCAGACTCTGATCGTCATGGCTAGAATGTATTATAATAACGTACTTAAAAAGACATATAGATCTTTTTGCAGGATATCATGTTCATGAAGGTTGAAGGTCGAGATAAGGAAAAGTGGATTCTGGGGTGACTTTATCCACACGTGATTCGACGATTCGGCACTTGAAGGCAAACCTCAATTGCTCAAGGATAGAACTTCTCTCCGACCAGGGTCGTCCGCCTCAGAATCAACCACGATGGCTTCATTCCTTCGCGCCTTCTCGCTATCGGCGAGATTATTGATCCCAAGCAATGCCATGGGCGCTTTTGCGACTCGCGCCAACTGGTCGCTCTTTGCCAGCCCCTCAACGACGCCCATCTCTCGAGCACTCGGAAACGGTTTGATGCAACAGACTCGCGGCATGAAGGTCCACAGTTCGGTAAAGAAGCGATGCGAACACTGTAAGGTAAGAGAGGTCAGCCAGGGACTATACCCGGGTAGAACTGATACTCGATAGGTCGTTCGACGGAAAGCCGGCAAGCGACATAACGGCTACTTGTATATCATCTGCAAGGCGAATCCTCGACACAAGCAACGACAAGGTTAAATACGAATGGCGGGATACGGGAGGATATGTACGATATATGTGAATAAACTGCGATTCGGACATTGCTGGGCGGGGCAATGGGTAACATTATGCGTGATAGAACGAACGAACTACTGAGGGCGATTCTTTCAGCGAGAAGCCTTGAATAAACATTCTATGGAATTTGAGAAGATGGCGACAGCGCTAGGACTGGAATTGTTCGTCATGTACAACTACCACTATATTCACAACTGCTGCGCTACATACCATCGATATACCTCTCCATGCCTTCCCATTCCGTCTTTCCAATTGAAAGAAGATACCGAACGTGTGACTTGGAGAGAACAGTTAGTGAATTGGTTGAGAAGCGAATGAGGGAACATACAGCGTCTGTGACGTTGCGACGCCGTTCAAATTCGTCACGGGCGTATTTTCGAGACTCGGCTCTTGTTGTAGGATCAGCGATCTTTTTTGTCCCGCGGAGGATAGTGCGGTAGAAAGCCAAGACTCGGCCTCTTTGAATGAACTAGATACGATTCTATCAGTCTTTGACATCATGAAACTTGTGTCAGACCCGAGAGTGTAGATCGTACCTGGTCAAGACTTAATGTTGGCATGATACGAGAACCGCCTGATCGGGTGGCATAGCCACGGCTGAATGTCAGCAAACGAATGCTGAGGCCCATTCCGCCAACTTCTAACTCGTTAAATGAGAAATAGTGAATATTGTCATTCCTTGAAGTTTAGATATCGATGATGAAAAGCTTCAACCAGTGCTTTCTCATCATATCGGACGAACCTCGGCTATCTAGAGGGTCTGGTACTTCCGGTTCATTCAACACTTCATATTGTTAGTGGAAGGTGTGACATGTTTGACAGACACGTATATTATCACCTTGCCATTGCCATTGGATTGTTACCATTTCAAGATCTTCATCCTAGATTCGTCCACATTCTTCGGCATCGCAACCTACATTAAAATCATGACAGAAACGAATGGCACAAAAGAACCAAGGAGATTGATAGGAAGAAGACGACAACGACCCGAAAACCCCATTGAGACGGCCAATAAGGTCGAAGACGATGAGTTTCTGACACAATATGTGAAGCCAAGGTTAGTTTACGTTTAACCAACAGACAAAAGTTATAACAAGTGTGGTATCTAGTAGTAGCAAGGGTTGGTCGGAATGGAAACACCCACAAGACGAAGCAACCTATACCATGAGCCTCACACGACCTACTTGCATGAGCGATGAAGATCTGGAGGCATGTTATAACTTGGTAGAAGAAACAAGCGGCCAAGATTATCGCACCTCATCTCTCGGTTGGCATCCGGCTACTAAGAAAAAGGAGATGAGGTCCCCAGACCTTCGTTACATCCTTGTGAAAGACAGTGAGGACCACATAAAAGGGTTCACGTCTTTTATGCCGACATTCGAGAACCATGAGCCGGTCGTTTACTGCTATGAGATTCATCTGAAGCCAGAGCTCCAAGGGTGAGTCAGTCAAGATGACTGTTCCTGAGACCACCCGTATTTCAACGGGAATTTGTCTGTCATGCAGGATTGTACCACAAATAGAACACGGATGGCCGTTGAACTAGCTGACATCCAATAAAGGACAGGTCTCGGTAAGAAGCTTATGGGCTACTTCACGGACGTCGCGGAGAACATACCTTCAGTTGAAAAGGCCATGCTCACGTGTTTTGTCAGCAACAAATCTGCCCTCAAGTTCTACGAGAAGCTAGGATTCTCAAAAGATGACTACTCACCGAGGGCGCGAAAGCTACGAGGAGAAAAGGTGGTGATACCCGATTATGTGATACTCAGTCGACAAACAACCTCTAAGAGAGTCGAGGCGTCGCGGGCGTACGAGCCTCGACTTCGATACTAAGATACAAGCAAACACGGACTTTCAAACTTTCAAATTTATCTCGTTGTGGTTGCAAGACAGCTCGTATTACTACGTGCGGTCGTGGCCGCTTATTAGTGTAGAAACGAATTACAGGCACGTTCCTTTATACCACTCTGCAATCACATTTGGTGTTGCCAATTGCAAAGATAATTCGACCCAAGAATCCGACGTTTAGGGCTTTTTTCATGTCGATTCACCTATTCAGGCCCGCTTCGGCCGCAAATACCAATCATTGCATTGCACCATCTTCGATGAGACGCTATCTCTGGATGCCCCGGCTTTTCAAGGGATGTGCGGTACACGTCTTTTCTAAGAATATCATCGTGGAATGACCTTCGCAGTGGTGGCCGAACTTTGCCTAGTCTGGCCTATTGAAGCACCCTTTTGACTCTGACTGGGCAAACTGTACGGATAAGAGCTACCTACCCAATTCAAGACTGATGGCCTCATGATAAGCGGTTCAACTAACCAGCTTGGGCGGCAATAATATTCTGCAGCTCCCAGGATCCCTTCACCAAAGCTGACACGCTGGGGTGGGGGAGCTTGGGGAGCCTCAGGGGGTAAGAAAACACCAAGCCTTGATATAGGGTGTCAAAATAACTTGGCAAAGAGTCCCCTAAGCTTAGACTAGTTTACCTAAATATTTTTATCACTTACGATCAAGGTCCTGAGTTTTCTTTCCTCCCCTAGGGGAGCCACTTCACCACCACTCACCAACCATGGATGTCAGCCCTAGGACGCTAGTCAGAAGGCGTGGCTGAACTACCTTTTCTAGGAAACAGCTCGCAGCTCTTCAAAAACCGTGCTTGGAAAGTGTTCTGCCGTCTGCTTGCTGTCTTTTTGTGCAGAGTTGTACTAGTTGCACAGCCAGCTTGTGAGACATGGCGTCGGTGCCAATGCGGTAGCTGCATGCAACCAAGGGATGACTTTCCATCATGTTTCTGAGCTCGAGGCGTCAGGCGGCTTCTAGCTAGGCTACTAGGCTCCCCTGTTGCCTGTCCTGTCATTAAAATGAAGGATGACCTAGCTAACGTGGAGGCTTAGAGCTGAAGCTCTGGGAGGAGAGGGCTTGCTTGTGATACGCCAGTCTGAAACGAAAGGCGAGTACCGTGCCGAGACTGTTGATTGTCCATAGGAGTTTCTCTCATAAGACGCCGTTTCTCCCTCTTGGCCGTTAATCTTCTCCCTCCTTCCTTCAACCAGAACTTATTCTTCTTGGCTCAAATTCCGATCAATCATAATTTTAATTACTTGGTCAATCGACTCACGCATCATCAGAATGGCCCAGCAGTACTCTCAAGGACCTAATGTCCAGAACCAGGAATGGCAGAATAACCTCTGCAATTGCTCGCCCTGCGACTCTTGCCTTCTCGGCACTTTCTGCCCCTGTATCCGTATGTGATCTGTGGGACAAATTGATTGCAGTTGGAAGACTAATGAACTCGCCATAGTCTTAGGTAAAACCGCCGATCGTATGAGAGACCCTACCATGCAGACTGCCGATACCTGCAACAGCGATGCTCTTATATTCTGCGCGATCAACTGCGTGACTGGATGTGGTTGGATGTAAGACGATTCCCGCAGACCTGTTCAAACCATCAACTAATACGCAACTCCTAGTTACTCCATGATGAAGCGTGGTGAGATCCGGGAGCGATTCGGCATCAAGGGCAGTGGCATGAACGATTGCTGCGTCAGTTACTGGTGCCTCTGCTGTGCTCTTATCCAGCAGGACAACGAAGTCAAGTCTCGCCTCTCCCAGGGGCCTATCACGCAGGGCTACCAAGCTCAGAAGGAGGGCATGCACATGCCAGCATCCCCTGCTGCTCAGCAGCAGCAGCAGCAGCAGCAATATCATGATCAGAAGCCCAACCCTCAGCAGCAGGCCTCTCAGCCCGATTATCAACTTCCTCAGCACGGTTACCAGTCTCCCCAGCCTCAGGGATCCTACCCTCCACCTCAGCAGACCTACAACCCTCAGCAGCCCCAGTATTAGGCCATTCGACCATGGAGTGTACAGCAAGATGGAGCCTCACACCGATATGACACCAGAAATTGAAAGAAATGCATGTGAAGGGGGCAATCAGAGAAATGTCTGGCATGTGAATTTTTGAGCGCGGACGGGTACGCGCCAACGGATTATACCTATATACCCAGTGACGAAGACGGTCATTTCTTATCTATATTTGTATTGATTTCGATGTATTATTTGCTTCAAGGAAACAAACTACTACTAGTCACCTTTCAGTTACATATGAAAGCGTCACGCATTCTCCCATTCTCTTTTGAATTGCCTAGTTCGGCGACGGAATGCGAAATGGAGAATCAGCAGACAAATTTACTAGAACTCTAAAACGAAACTAGGAAAAAAACTTCAGGCGTCACCTCGAGAGACCCTTGCAAACTATCATTGGAAATCCACTTGACCTTCCCCTTCGAGGCATGGTTTTGTTGTGCTTTGCAATGATGCTTTCCGGGATTATGGTCTGTGCACTCTGATATTTCGGCGATTTCCATGTTACGGAGCTATTCCGATGCTTGGAATCACAACTTGTGAGATCAGTGTGCGGATTATCAGATATAAGCCATGCTGAGCGATTCTTGAGGATTTATTATTGGTACAATCGCTCAATGATACATACATTTATGGACTGGTGCTGACGTTAATGTCCCCTATGATCCTCGCAAGATGCACCACAACTCGGACAGACTGGCAGCACTTCAGTATCCCTGGGGTATCAATAAAAATATCATTCATGACCTCTGTCCCTGTCGTATTTTCAGACTGACAGCAAAACGCCCACGCCGCACCTCTATAGTGGTTGGACAAACGCCTATTCAGATCTACGGTCACAGAGGCTCTTTACCCTCAACCCAAATCAAAGCCTTCTGAATCTTGTGCCCAATTCCCCAATGCAATTGAATGCATATAAACAAACCAGTCCCTTTTTCCGTATCCCTTTCCATCGTCCCATCATATTTTCCAAACATATATCATTACGCATAAAGCTTCTTCTCATATGACTCCATGTTGACGTTGCCCTCCAACTGGGCGCTGGCTGTTCGAAGCTCGAAGCGCAGCTCACCGGCCTCGGCACTCTCGTGCATAGTCTTAAGGCTGGTCATACCACTGTCCTGGAGAGAGTGCTTGAGTCCAGCAGCAAGATAGGGAACAAACTTGTTGATCGAACTATTGTATGTTAGCATTCACGGTTACATTCGGCTTCGGATTATGACTTACCCTCGGTGAGCAACAGCGCCAGAGACACCCTGAGCAACCAGGACGCTATCACCCTCAGAAAAGTAACGGGCAGTACCAGCATTGCTCTTCTGGCTGTCCTTACCACCGTTACCGGCCTTCTTGTCCTGCATAGCATCGATACTTCCCATACCTCGGTAAGCCTTGACGAGCTTACCCTCGCGGGAGACGAAAGAAGTGCCGGGAGACTCAGTGGTACCAGCCAAGAGACCACCCATCATGATGGTAGAAGCACCCAGAGCAAGGCCCTTGACGATGTGGCCAACGTTCTGGATACCACCATCGGCGATACAAGGAACACCGAAGCGGGCAGCGAAGCGGCTGACGCTGTAGACAGCGGCAGCTTGAGGACGGCCGACAGCCATAACCTCCTGAGTAATACAGGCGGAGCCACTGCCCATACCGATTCGGAGACCGTCGACACCAGCAGCGATCAGAGAAGCAGCCTGCTCTCGAGTCACGACGTTTCCGCCAATGACATCGACACCAGGGAACTCGCTCTTCACCCACTTGATCATCTCAATCTGGTACATGCTGTTACCCTGAGAGCTGTCAAGGATAACGATGTCAAGGCCGGCGTCAACCAGCTTTTTGAGGCGAAGCTTGTCCTCGGGGCGAGTACCAATGGCAGCAGCGCAAAGGAGCTGCTTGCTGTCGGGAAGCTTGGAGGCATTGGGGAAGTGCTGGTTCTTGGTCAAATCGGAGCGAGAGATCATAGAGACCAGGTTGAAATCCTTGTCGACAATGGGCAGCTTGCCCTTCTTGGACTTGGAAAGACTTTTGTTGGCTTCGAGGAGAGTGACGTGCTCGGGAGCAGTGACAAGGTCAGTAACCATGACATTGGAGACGGGCTGGTCAAGATCCTCCTCGAACTGTAGGTCTCGGTTGGTAACAATACCAAGCAGCTTGGAACCAAGCTTGCCGTCGGCTAAAAATTTTCTTGTCAGCCCAATATTCTTGTGCGGGGCAATGCGAGCTCGGATGACAAAACAACGAGTTGTGGCGATTGATCATAGTGAAGAAAGTCCCCATGACAATAGTCTATACGGTGGAACGAAAGTTATATAAAAGGGTGTATAATCATGCAATCTTGTGAGAGGTGAGGATGCTGTATAAAACTCACCAGTGACTGGGAAACCACCGAAACCCCACTTCTCCTTCAGAGCTTTGGCCTCACCAACAGTGGTGTTGCGATCAATGACGATAGGGTCGAGAATGAAACCGTTCTCGTATCGCTTGACCTTGCGGACCATATCGGCCTGGGCCTCAGGAGAGCAGTTGTGGTGAATAACACCAAGACCACCCTGGAGAGCCATGTGGATAGCCATCTCGTGCTCCGTGACAGTGTCCATGGGAGACGAGACGAAGGGGGTCTTGAGAGTAATGCGCTTAGTGATGGGCGCATCGAGGGTGACCTCAGAGGCAGCGAAGCCAATGTAGCCGGGCAGAAGCAGGAAGTCATTGTAGGTAAGACCGCCGTGCTTGGTTGTGTCCATAAGCTCGTGGATGTCGAGACCATCCTTCTGCTGGTACTCCTTCAGCACCTCGAGGGCTGTGGTGTAGTCAAGGACCGAGGCGGACATGACTGGCAGATAAAAGAGTATATGACGAGGAGAATGAAAATGTGAGGTCGAAGGCGAGTTGAGTCGATAAGCAAGCTCTGGCCTTTAGTATCGACTGCTAAGATTGATAGAACGCTTCTTCCCGAAAGAAAGAAAAGAGAAAAGAATTGGTGGTGCTACCTCAAAAACTTTTTTATGGGACGCGGGACCCTGCAAGGTGAGGGGCGACTTGGAGGGGCAGTTGCTTCTGTGAATGGATGAACTTGGCCAAGGCTCTTGAGGCAGGTGGATTCGAAGCTCTGCTAGTTTTTCTTGCCGAGATCGCTAAAATTAATCAGCTCTTTATCACCACTCTGAAATTGACTTACCCTGCAGATGTGGTGTCCACCTCTTCGCATGAATAAACTACCTACACTTGTTTACTTGTACGACTTATGATAACGAATAAGCTCAGTATATATTGAGTTTGGCAAGTTGTTCTTTTTCTTCTTGAATATGTGTGAGTAGATACTTTTCACAAACTAAAGTAGACCTTGACTTCGACGTCATTTCCCCATCGAGTTTCAAGACCCAATTCCTTCCAGGCTTTTCCAATGTTGATCTCAAGTACATAAGTATCAACCTTAGAAATGGCCACGGTATGTACGGGTATGACCTTTTCTTGAACCGTAATCAGAAAATCATCTTCAATCTTCAAAGAAGGGAGTATAGATACAAAGATCCCTGAAGATTGTCGGATTTTAGTCAATGTAAAAAAAAAACAGTAATACTCCTTACCTAGGGTGCCAAATGCTTTAACTCGCGTATCAATCAAAACACGTCCATTCTCTCGCACTTGAACATCGTTCATGAGGATTGCTGCTGCACCAGCCATCTTGCCTAACAGGCCTAAATTCGAGATCCCGACATTGCCATGGTTCTTGCTGGATAGGCGAGTCAGAGGAAAGGCGGAGAGAATATCATAGCCTCTGACAGGCAATGAGATAGTAAATAGTGATCCTGGGCTCCCGATCTTTGTAGGACGAGAAACCCTGCCTGTGGTATGAGCACGAACCAGGTATTCAAGGTCGCGAACCACACCAGGGAACGCTGAAAGAGCTACCAATTCAGTCAATGGCCGAGAGGAGATATTGAAAATGGCCATGATAGGGCTTCCGGTATGTGAGGCTCCTGGATCATGATTAGTACACACTACTAGCTTCCCTCTAGATAATTCTTACCATGATAGCTTCCAACCTTGAGGAGTAAATCATCGTCGTATCCGATATAAGGGTCAACGGCCTTTCCTAAAGAGCTTGGCCGGAATATGACAGTCTTACCCCGCGGGGTGCGACCACTCATTTGCTCAATAAGATCCATGTCATGCTCACCGGGAACATCAGTGATATAAATTGGACCTCCGCTCACACATCTGGCCGCAGCATGAAATCCGGAATACTCATGAACAGTTTGGAACATGTCCCAGTCGGGAAGAACATTTAGATGCTGCATAAAAATAGCATTGTGCGCATTTGTCCACACGTGCCATGGATGTGAAGCAGGAACCTCAGGGAAGAAGTCGTCAGAGTTTCGAACAAGAATGGTAGGCCGATTGGTTGGCATCTGCGAATGGAAGAGTGCCTCAGGGAACTGCGACATACATGATATCGCCTTGTAACTGAAGTTGCGAAGTGAGATGGTCCACGCATCGAGGTACGTATTGATCAGATCTCGGCGAGGGAATGCTTCGATCCACGTATCGATCATGAACTGCGCATCCGTCTTAACAGCATCGATACCGGCATCTGAAAGGAATCGATAAAAGTCTTCATAGAATCGATACACATCTTCTTGTGCGATTACCGTCATCTTCCCACCCAACGGAAGATTTCGGCGGTCAGCTTCTTCCCGTGTCACTACGATAGTCTTGTATGTCTTGGCAAGCTTGCCATCAGGAGCAATGCCACCCCAATAGCCCAGGAGGGCATGCCAAACAGCAATGTGTTGGATATGTGGATGGTTCTGTCGAATATGAGATATGGTGGATTTCAAGCCTTTGGGAAATCCCCTGGGTTCCGCTTCAAACTCGTTCCAACCATATTGAAACTGGCTCGGGCCACGATAGTCGATCGACTGCCAGTTGTCATCAATAATGAGACTAGATATCTGGATGTTGTGCTCAGAAAGCTTATCGAGAGCGTCGAATATTTTCTGATCTGTTAGTCGTTGGCCCAGAGCGTTCCATGTGCCTGTATATAATTAGTTCGTGGTCTTTCGAAGTTGAAAGTACTCAAGAACACACAGAAGCCCAGTCCATCAAACCAGTATTCTAGCCACTCTGCTTTAAAGTCCCTCTTCAATGCGGGTAAGTCCTGTGACAAGTCATCGCTGGCCTTCTTTGTTCCCGCAACCATATCTCGAGCATGATACATCACAGACGCAATGGCGCAGTCGAAATCGTCTCCAACCGAAACAAGAATAACGGCCTTTTCTTCGGAGAGACCGTCATTTCGGATCTGAACTGTTAGATACTGCAGGAAGCTGCATCAGACACACTTACATGAACCTGCAGCTTTCCATTGGGCTCGCTTCGAAATACTGGCAAGACATGACTGACACCGCCGACGGCAAGGAACACTAGGTTTTGACCTTGGGGGCTTAAGAAGCAACAGAGAATGGCATCTTTATCGAGTTTGAATTGAGAGTGCCCATGGCGAGGTGCAAGCCACGGTGACCATAGTCTGACAAGAGAGAACCATCTGTGTCAAGTCAGATAACATGGTTGCTAATGGATTTTCGATTTGCCGTGTCACTCCGCCGAACTTACCTAACAAAAGAGCCCCAGGGGGTACCGACAGTGATGTCTCTGTACGAAGACTCATTGCCATTTGCAGTTGGAATGACTGCTTCGAGTGTCCAGAGTGAAGTTCTAGGTGATTGACTCAAACGTGGCTTGACACTCCAGTCTTGAGAATTGAGATCAGGAATTGAATCAGAGAGATCACTAGAAGGAATCCTGTTAGAGGCATTGACAATCAAGCCATCATTGACACCCCGTTCATCACGAATCCATCTCCAGTCTGCATCAGGACTATGTCGGAACTTGAAAGTGAACTGCACAGATGTTGTAAATGAGAAGGAAGATGTGAAATAGAATCGTGACATGGAATCATCCAGTGCCTGGAGAGTCTGGGGGGCTCCAGTCTCTGTGAGTGAGACTACCTCCAGATCCTTCCAATCTGAGCCGTCTACCGAGTGCCATACTGAGGCTTCCCATGGCTCATTGGTACGGTACTTGGGTATCTCAAGGACAAGCGTCAATGTGACCTCTGTACCCTGGATAGGTGTCACTTTCCCGAGAGGCGGGAAGCTTTGTAAAACAACTTTCATGTCTTCAGAAACGGGACGTGGCGAAGGTTTCTGCTTGGCGATGTAAATCGCCTGGAAGACATCGCCAAAGTTGTAATTGTCAGAAGGCATCGCGATGAAATGAGAACAAGAGGAGCAGGCTTGATTGAAATAGGTTTATTTATCCAATTGACTGAGAAATTCAGGCTTCGCATGTATAGAGTTTGGTGAATATTTGAAACTTGAAAATCGAGGTAACAGGCACAAAATCACATCAACAAGTTTGATGTTGTTCGACGACATTTGTGTTGACAAGGCATTGTCATAGAAGCTCACGAAAACGGACGAGCCTGGATTATAGTGGAGTTTCAGTGGAGTTGGAATTGGTTAGTAATGGGTGCTTATCATTGGCTCCGGCCTTGATTTCGAGTCGTTCTGATTCGGGGACGGCCGGAATGACTAAGCTTCTGCCTCAGTGCTCAGGCTGCAAATTATCTCAGTAAAGCTTCTAGCCGAGCCAGATCGAAAGATTTCATCAAACCACTCAATTCAGCGTCGACCCTCCAAACCTGCGTCATGGCGTCCCGGAGACTGGCTTTGAACCTCTCGCGAGGTCTGCGAAACCGTGCTGGTCTTTCGGCCGCCGCTCCTTTCACACGAGGCTTTGCCACCCCTTCTACTGTCGGCAAGACTCAGACTTCGACTCTTAAGAATGGATTGACTGTGAGCATCATCAACCGAGGTCAATTGGCCTCGACAACCGCTTGGGACTGCCCTCCTGACACGCCCTTCTGATAGGTCGCTACCGAGCACTCGCCCTTTGCGCAAACGTCGACCGTCGGTGTCTGGATCGATGCCGGTTCCCGGGCTGAGACTGACGAGACCAACGGTACCGCCCACTTCCTTGAGCATCTCGCTTTCAAGGTTCGACAACCCATTAATTGGCCGAGGCCACTCGTTAACAATGCAATCAGGGTACCGCCAAGCGAACTCAGCAGCAATTGGAGTTGGAGATTGAGAATATGGGTGGTCACCTGAACGCCTACACTTCGGTCAGTCGGATGAAGGGGATACGGAATTGACTGATGCTAACGACCGTTCAGCGCGAGAACACCGTCTACTTCGCCAAGGCCTTCAACTCTGATGTTCCCCAGTGTGTCGATATCCTCTCCGATATTCTCCAGAACTCCAAGCTCGAGGAGTCCGCCATCGAGCGTGAGCGCGACGTTATTCTCCGAGAGTCCGAAGAGGTTGAAAAGCAGGTTGAGGAGGTTGTTTTCGATCACCTCCATGCTACTGCTTTCCAGCACCAGCCCCTTGGCCGCACTATCCTTGGCCCTCGACAGAACATCCGCGACATCACCCGAAAAGAACTCACCGACTACATCAAGAACAACTACACTGCTGACCGTATGGTTCTCGTTGGTGCCGGTGGCATCCCTCACGAGCAGCTCGTCGAGCTCGCTGAGAAGCACTTCTCCGGTCTCCCCTCAAGCGCTCCCCAGACCAGCGCCTACCTTGCCTCCAAGCAGAAGGCTGACTTCATGGGTTCTGACGTCCGTGTCCGAGATGATGGCATGCCTACTGCTAACATCGCCCTCGCTGTTGAGGGTGTCAGCTGGAACTCTGAGGACTACTTCACTGCTCTTGTCGCTCAGGCTATTGTTGGCAACTACGACAAGGCTGTTGGCCAGGCTCCCCACCAGGGCAGCAAACTCAGCGGCTGGGTCCACAAGCACGACCTTGCTAACAGCTTCATGAGCTTCTCCACTAGCTACAACGACACTGGGTAGGTCCTGATGTCATGCCATGAATTTGAAGTAACTAACTCGTCATAGTCTTTGGGGTATCTACCTTGTTTCCGACAAGCCTGACCGAGTTGACGACCTCGTCCACTTCGCTATCCGTGAGTGGATGCGCCTCTGCACCAACGTCAGCGCCGCTGAGACCGAGCGTGCTAAGGCTCAGCTCAAGGCCTCCATCCTCCTATCACTCGACGGCACCACAGCGGTTGCTGAGGACATTGGCCGACAGCTCGTGACCACTGGCCGCCGCATGGCCCCTAACGAGATTGAGCGAAAGATTGATGCTATCACCGAGAAGGATATCATGGATTTCGCCAACCGAAAACTTTGGGATCGGGATATTGCTGTTAGCGCTGTTGGAACTATTGAGGGTCTCTTTGACTACCAGAGACTTCGCAACACCATGAAGCCCAAGTTTTGAAGAAGAGAGGGCTGATGAGATTGTGAAAATCGAAATAAGGGTATAGAGTGTATGAGATACCGTTTACAGGCCTAGTGTACCATAAGATTTCCTCTGTTCATGCTAGGTAACACGGAGTTGTGATAATTATGCCTTGACTGTACTGCCATCAGTAGCTAATTGCAATTTTGTCATATAGTATCTGTAGTGCTTTCGAGGTAGCGTCTATGGTCTTTCTTGAATTAGAATGCATTGTGTCATGATCATTGATTAGATGAAAAGACGGACACCTAGCCCTCCTCAGCCATCTCTTCGTCGACATCCTCACCAAACATATCCTCTACCGTCCCGCCCTCAACCCCATCTCCGCCGATATCTTCAGGCTCGGGACCCTCAATACCCTCCATGGCATCACCCCCTTGTTCCTCTTCCTCTTCATCCTCTTCATCCCATACATCCTTCAGTCCCCAACTTGTGCCACTCAGGACGAATCGTTCGCTTGGTAGTCGCACACCCCATTCACTGGGCACAATTTTAGGCAGTGCTACCTTGTTGCGTTCGCGTGCAAGTTCTTGCATGTAGTCTTTGCTAATCCCCCCGCCTGCGTTTCCTCCGCGGAACTGATAGCTGAGTCGCGCAGCGATGGCGAGCTTAACGGCATTGGCGGTGACTGCAGCGTCGCCTGCAGGTGCTGAGATTGCTCCAGCATTTGCTGATGGTTTAGAGCCGGCTTGTGTGACATATGGGTCGCCGGAAAGATGTAGCGCATCGCTAAGAACAGATGAGGTATGACGGTAGGCGAAGTCGAGAAGGAGGAGGGGAACGCGTGGCTCATAAGCGGTAACACCTTGCGATGTGAGCAGTAGTTCGATAAGCCTTGAGTCGCGCGGTCGAGGGGCGGTTGTTGATGGCGCTGGAGGAGGTGCGTTCTGTGAGGCTGCAGCAGCAGTCTGGCTAGAAGCGGCCGCCGTGGTCTGTGTGCTTGGTAATGGTTGCGAAGTGCTTGCCGATGAGGCAGGAACCCCGTTTATTTGGGGTTGGCTTGATGACATCTTGATCGATGTTGCAATGCTTCGTGATAGGTCTCCTGGATGCGACTGTTCGTGAAAGCCTCGAAGCGATATCACGCGAAGAACTCGAGTTCGTGTTTGGCAAGGCTGAAAGACGCCCGTGCTATCAATGAGTGAAGCTGACGAAATAAAGTTGACATGTGATTGAGAGTGCTTTTACATTTGGGGAGATACCTACAGTAAAAGTTAACGTGCTAAGACGAGAGCTGATTGACCTCGAATTATTTCCTTTGCGACGGTGAGTCGCATGCCAGGTGCTTTGGCCGGAGAATTCGATAATCCGAGATGTGATCTGGTAGCGAAACTGCACAGACCACACCTTAAATTTCGATGCGTTCATTCCGATAAAAGAGCTTTCCAAAACAACAAAGTCATGAGAGTGACAGGATCAAAATGAGTTAGTCTTAAAGGCTATTAGGTATGAGGCGAAAACGGCTTGTAATCTCGAATCGCACTTTCTTTCCTCATTAGGTATCATGTGTCTAAAGTACTATACTTAGGTAAGGTACAGGTAGGTACTTACCTTAGTACCTAAGGTCGGTGCTACCTTAGTAGGTACCTAAGTAGCCACTGGCGGAAGTCGGATTTCAAGCAAGGAAAGAACGACGGAGGGGCAATGAGTAAAGAGTGCCCCACCATTTCTCGCCGATGCAGGAGGACTCATAGTCATCAATTCAACTTTTCCACGGGCGATCTTCACTCTTTTACTACTCGATTTAACAACCTCCATGCTAAGCTTTCGACTATAATCGACACCAATTGTATTCATCTGGTTCGTTACAGAGATGGAGACGACTCTACCACTGCCATTCTTGGTGAGCATTGGCAGCCCCGATGGACAGGCTACCAATGATGGCCTCACTCGTCATGAGATTGCCCTTCTGGGAGCTCCTTTCTATGAGATAGCTTCTAAGGATTGGGGTCGCCCAAGTGCCGGAACCAATGTTCACATGGATGCCACGGGTTTAAGTGACCCGGACGATGTGATTGCGTTGCTCGATGGCGGGGTTCGAACGGTTTTTGTTGCTTCAGAGTCCTACTCTGAGTACACAGAATATGGCGCAAGAGCAATTCCCACTGTTTCTTCCCTTGACATTTCCGCAGCTTCCAAAAATGGTCTATTGGTAAAAGATTTCGACATTTCATCGAGCTCCGTCGACAAGTTTATTAAGGAAGCATCAGCCAAGAAGATCAAGAGCCTTTACATTAAGCCAGCTCTTAAGACCGATATCAAAAAGTTCATCGAAATTGCCAAGAAGGCCAATGCAATCCCTATCATTCCTTCTACAAGTTTGACGACCGACAGGAACGATTCGGGTCGATTATTGTTATCTAAGGTTATCGCATCATACTGGAAATCCGATCGACCTGACGGCCTTATCCCTACTGTGGTTACCGATGATGCCGGGATCGCGTTGGGTCTCGCCTATACCAGCGAGGAGAGTATTCTGGAGGCTCTCAGAACACAAACCGGAGTCTACCAGAGTCGCAAACGTGGTCTTTGGGTGAAGGGACTTACTTCTGGTGACACTCAGGAACTGTTGCGAATTGGTCTCGACTGTGACAACGACACTCTCAAATTTGTGGTTAATCAGAATGGCCGTTTCTGCCACCTCCAGCAGTTCGGCTGCTTTGGAGACCTCAACGGCATTTCAGCACTTGAACAGACACTCAAGTCTCGCAAAGAGTCTGCCCCTCAGGGTTCTTACACGGCCCGCTTATTCTCCGATGAGAAGCTTCTGCGAGCAAAGATTATGGAGGAAGCAGAGGAGCTTTGCGATGGCAAGACCAAAGAGAACATCGCTTTCGAAGCTGCTGATCTGATCTACTTTGCTTTAACTAAGGCGGTTGGCGCAGGTGTTAGCCTCGCAGACATTGAGGCTAATCTGGACGCCAAGAGCTTGAAGGTCAAGCGTAGAACAGGCAATGCCAAGGGCAAGTGGGCGGAGAAGGAGGGTATCGAGACCGATGCAGCCCCCGCGAAGCCCTCACAACCAGTGGTAGAGAAACCAGCTGATGGACGTATTGCCATGGAGCGAGTTGATGCCTCAAAGATCTCCGAGGCTGATCTCGTAGAGAAGCTTAAGAGACCTTCTCAGAAATCCCCCGACGCCATCTTGAAGATCATTCAGCCTATCATCGAAGACGTGCGAACTGGCGGCGACAAAGCTGTTCTATCTTACACCCACAAGTTTGAGAAGGCCACTTCATTGACATCGCCTGTGCTGAAGGCTCCCTTCCCTAAGGAGCTTATGGATATCTCGCCTGAGACCATTGAAGCTATTGACGTCTCTTTTGAGAATATTCGAAAGTTCCACTCTGCACAGCAGGAGGAAAAGTCTCTCCAGGTTGAGACTATGCCTGGCATTGTCTGTAGCCGCTTCTCGAGACCCATTGAGCGAGTCGGTCTTTACATCCCTGGTGGAACCGCTGTTCTTCCCAGTACTGCTCTGATGCTTGGAGTTCCAGCTATGGTGGCTGGTTGCCAGAAGATTGTATTTGCCTCCCCTCCTAGATCTGATGGTCGCATTACCCCTGAAATTGTTTACGTTGCTCACAAGGTCGGTGCTGAGAGCATTGTATTGGCGGGTGGTGCTCAGGCTGTTGCCGCTTTGGCTTATGGCACGGAGAGTGTCACCAAGGTTGACAAGATTCTTGGACCTGGTAACCAATTTGTGACTGCGGCCAAGATGCACGTCAGCAACGACACCAATGCTGGCTGCGGTATTGACATGCCAGCTGGGCCCTCTGAGGTTCTTGTTGTTGCCGACAAGGATGCCAACCCTGCTTTTGTTGCCTCTGATCTTCTTTCTCAAGCCGAACACGGTGTCGATAGCCAAGTCATTCTGCTTGCTGTTGGCCTCAATGAGCAGGAGCTCCAGGCTATTGAGGACGAAGTTCACAAACAAGCCCTTGCTCTTCCTCGTGTCGATATCGTCCGAGGATCCATTGCTCACTCTGTCACTGTTCAGGTCAAGGACATTGAAGAGGCCATGCGCATCAGCAACCAGTATGCCCCTGAACACCTCATCCTCCAAATCAAGGATGCCGAGAATGCTGTTGATCATGTCATGAACGCTGGCAGTGTGTTTATTGGTCACTGGACCCCTGAGAGTGTTGGCGACTACTCTGCTGGCGTCAACCATTCTTTGCGTAAGTTCTCTCGTTAATTTATTGTATGCGATTGATGCTAACAACTTTCACAGCTACTTATGGATTCGCCAAGCAGTACTCTGGCGTCAACTTGGGCTCGTTCCAGAAGCACATTACAAGCTCCAACCTTACTGCTGAAGGTCTCAAGAATGTTGGTACCGCCGTCATGCAACTGGCCAAGGTCGAGGAGCTTGAGGCTCATAGAAGGGCTGTGGAGATCCGACTCAACTATTTGGAGCAACAGCAGTAGACAGGGACATACAACAAATGGAAAAAGGCGTATGTAGACAAAAGATGGGTTTTCTTTAGGATAGGAGCGCCGGCTTGGAGAAAGATGTTATTTCAATATGCACACAGACCATGGTGCTCCAAAATAAAATGCAGCTTGCTCAAGTAGTATATTTTAGCCTGTCGGACAACAAAAGCCTTTGTCTGTCAGAATGCCATGATGTAACCACTACAAGTACAATGAAACGCTCAACGCCGCGCTATGCCTCACTATGTAAAACCCTTTCTCCCCCCTTGTCAACCCTATCTGACTCCTCTTATGCAGTCAGAAAAGACTCTCGCCATCAACGTCTATGAAAAATAACCCACAAACACTCTAAAAAAACTCCCTTGAATTCGTTACAACTTACTGCCTGGTAGGAGTAGTAGCGACAGCCTCGGTGGCCTGTTCGTGATACTTAGCTTTCCTTCACTTCACTTCATTTCTCAACGGTGAGATGACCAACCCCTGTTATGTGTTGGGCGAGAACGTCCTCCTTAAGCTGACCTTGACGCCTTTGTCCAACGGGAGCAGCATCAGGAGTTCCGTCGCCCTGGTGTTCGTCTTGATGGCCTTCCTCGCCATCTTCGTAAATCTCATCTTCATCCTCCTCGTCGTAAGCTTCTTTCAAGTCGCGTGTCATAGACGCCTTGAGTAGCTCTTCGTCAACGCTACCGCCCAAAACACTTGCGGCTTCGGCAAACTCATCCATAGATGCTCGAGAGATGTAACTATCAGCAAGTCCTTCACCGATCTCGTCCACTTCTTCATCTATTTCGCCATCCTCATCGTCGTATTCCTCTTCATCATCACCATACTCGCTAGTAGGACCTCCTGGGCCGTCATCGTCATCGCCATCATCACTCTCGCTTGCTGAAAAGTCAGCCATGGCAAGAGGATCATCTCTCCAATACGTGAAATCTGTGTACTCCTCGCCGCCACCTTTTACCAGTGTGCTCACGGGAGGGAAGTAATGGTCAACGACTTCGTTGATATTCACGTAGCTCATCTTGAGCTTGTTGAGTGTCAGTAGATCAAGAGACACTTCAGAGTTTGAATTGATGGTGAAAATGCGGTTTCGAGGGACATCGACGGTCCGGTAAGAGATCTGATCGGTCAAACGATTTCCGTAACCGGCATAAAAGGGATGACGATCTGGGCCGTATAAGTTTCGAATGTCTCGAAGAGTTGCCATCTTGAAGATGTGGGGTTTGCGAAGGTAGACCTCTCGCCTTAGTGCAGCCATGGTTCTATCTGGTGACAGGATTGTAGGTCCGGGCGGCATCCTGTAGCCATCCTGAACGATACCCGCCAGGTAGGCTCTTGTAGTATCCGATTGTCCAACGGATCGACTGGTAAGGTACATGATATTATAACCATTGGCGGAAATATCACTGTACAACTTGGCCACACCTGAGTGAGTCCAGTCACGGCCAATCATGTTCAACACGTGGCCGAGGGCGTCCGATTTGGTAATAGTACCGTCAATGTCCGAGATGACAACAGGCGTCTCATGCCTCCAGAGGTACATGTTTGCTTTGCAGGTAGCTCGATTGACAGT